ATTTTGCAGTACATTACTCTAACTTTTTTTTTTAAGCGTGAAGAAATCAATATTCAGTTTATCTTGCCTTGAGTCCTGTTAAATTGAAAGGATTGTCTCAAACCTAAACAAATCTCTCAAGATTAACACAGAGAGAAGATTTTACACTATGGTTAAATGCATTAGCACATGTTGGTAGACTGAATTCTAAAAAATTACTTGTCTATTTACAACAATCTTTGCTTATGATGACTATAGGACAGATACCAAGGGCATTATGAGTTAAAAGTAGAGTAACATTTAGAGTAAAACAGACAAAAAAAGTACATTCTGTAATCATGGCCACTGACAAACAAAGACTCAAGTATTCAAGACTACCAAGATCACCTTTGATGCTTCAGTAGGGGATCAATTTGACCAATCCCTAGAATACAAACTGCAAATTATGAGGCAATGAATTTTACAAAAAAAAAGTGAAGATACTAAAATGTGGGCAAAACCATAATCTAATATTTCTAAAACTGGTTTCCTTTGAAACATTTAGTTTCCTAAACAAGCAAAGAAAAGATAAGAAAGAAGATCCACCTCCAGTAACTCCCTAAAATACTATGGGTTGGTGTCACAAGTGAAACTTATTTACAAAAATTAGAGTAGCTCCTGAGTTTAGTTTGTGCATAACATGTAGACTGAGGTATTTGTTATTGAAAATGATGCATTCTTCAGAGACAAAGTCCCCAAAATCCAAACCTAACCTTTCCTACCTTCTATTTATTCCCTAGACAGGGGGGACAAGCCCCCGTGTAATCCCCTTCATTAGCACTTCATAGAAAACGGACAGTAAGAACTTTGGCTGTGTGAGGGTGCTGTAGACTTAATGTCTCACCAGTGATATGCAGCAGATATTTACATCATTTCATGGTATATATGAGGCCACAGTAGCTATCCGTATGTTATGTGACTATTTCTTATGCTCTACAAATTGGCCATGTCCATTTTACACACTGTGTGTTGGTCTTGGTATAGTCATAAACAACACAGGTACAGCTGCTGCGGCTTCATATCTACTGTGAAATAACAAAAATATTTGCTGCATATAATGCATAGCCTCACACTGTCAGAGTTCTTAATGCTGCATTTCCTATAAGACTATTTTCTAAAATTCCTCTTCACTGCAGCTTGTCTGTACCTTCTACACTGAAGATATGAGACAAATCCTTATAATAAAATTGTGGCGGCATTTGGCACAAAGTGCTTATAAAGGAGGCGTAGAGGGGGGTTTGCGTCCACTGTCTAGGATATCAATAAAAGGTAGGAAAAGTTAGATTTGTATTTTTGGGTTTGCAATATACCTTGATTTTGGGACTAATGGCCTTATACTTATAGAAATTGTGTAATGCAAATCAGTTGACACAATTTTCTTATGCTAGAATCTTCACAATTATATATGTGAATTCTTAACCTCACTTTTGGAATATCAGTTTCAATGTTCTTACCCTTTTACAGTAGTTTGGTATATCAGTTGATTTTTTGTGGTAGTATTCCTTAGTAGAGAAATTTGTGCATCAAAGACTGTATTCCACAATTTCTTTAAACATATGACTGTTTGTCTCTATAGGGTGTGTTGTTCTCGTTAACAAGTACAGTTTCCTTCAATGGCCCGGATCATGTTTATCATAATCCAAAGGTCTAGGGATAATGCAATGCTATGGCCTCCTGCTTCTACAAAAGTCAACAAACCTCCATAGTCTATAAATACTCAAGAACTTGACCCCTCTCATCACCTGTAATCAAATTTGGAAGTCAAAGTTGCCTGAATGTCAAAACATTCTGCTTCATGAGTAAATTACCTCTTCTATAGAAATATGAGAATAGAGATAAAAGTGGTCCTTGATTGATGATACATTGCTAGATCATAAATAATGGAGTTTAATTGCCTTTAATAAAACAGCAAAGAGTTGAGACCACAGCAGTGGTGGAATTACATAATATATGCCTTTTCCCCCCCACTATATTTGCACAGTTCTATCCCAAACATTTAACTTAATTATGGTAGCTAATATAGAACAGTGAAATATGTTTATATTTTACATCAATACCTTTTCCATTGTGCCTGATAATGAACAACTCTGCAGATTCTCAATCAAACAGAATCTTCTCTTTTCAATAAAAAAAACTATAGGCCTAATAGTAAATGATCTACACAATTAGAAAACCTTACATTCGACACTACCTTTTTCTTATTATTAGTTTACCTCTCCAGAGAAAAAAGGAATAATAATTTCATATGCATACTAATGATACTTCAGAATATTTCAAGATTACATGCTCACTAATATCAAAAATATTTTTAGGCATAAAATCCTAGTGCTAACCCGTTCAACTGTCTATGTGAAGCCATACACTCAATTCAAAAGAAGCATCCTTACACGAGGAGTAAACATTCCAGCTAACTTTCTTTTTCACAACAGAGTAGAAAGAGACCCACATCAGGTGTCATGTCATTCAATTAATTCACTCTATA